ATTACATGCATCTTGAAAGAGATTGGATTTATTTTTTTCAAACTGGAAGAAGAATGGATAGGATTGAGTAAGATTGGAAAGAATATAATGAAAAATACTATTATTTGATTTAATAAAAAACTGGGAAATTTCTGTACTAAAACAGACTGGTTTTAGAATGGACTTTATTGAAAGTGTAGTTTAATTCTGACATTCAGAAATTATGGATTATGTGCCATTTTAATAGAGTGTATTTTTCATCTGATTTCGGCAATATGAGTATAATGTTACAAAAGTGATCAGATCACCTGGGGTGATTCATAAAAGGGGAAACGGCATTGCCTGAACAAATTGGTATTGTTTTACAGTAAAAGCCTTCTTCAAATGAAGACTTTAATTACACATATTATTTCTTACTAAGTATTTAGTCATTTGCATGCAAGTACAATGTGTAGTAGCAAGCAAAAGATTTCCCTTTTCTGAGATTTTAGAAATAAAATGTGAATCAATCGAGCTGATTAGATTAATATATTAAGCTTGTTGTCTCAAAACTACCTGTGTCCTGTGTGTAATGGTCATCTAATGTTTTTAGGTTGTCAGTCCCCAAGCTTTTGCTTGGCTATCTCAACTCCGTCATCGGTGGGAGGACACTCAGAAACACTGCTTTGTTAATATTTGTGATGCTCAGTTCCAGTATTTCTATGAATATTTAGGAAACAGTCCTCGGCTAGTGATCACTCCTCTAACAGACAGGTAAAAATGTTTGAATTAAATGGGACCAAAAAAGCTAAAAAAGTGCCCAGGCATGCGTAAAGATGTGGGAGATTAAAAAGAAAGGAATGAGAGAAAATGGTGAACAAATTGGGAAACTGTATGAAAGTGTGTAAATGAATAAATTAAGTAACATAGTGAACGTTGATTTTACTTAGAAATAAGTAAAATAGAACAAAATTAGAGAAGCAGAATGACAGACGCTGTACAGTATACAAATCATGAAATCATGATCAGATTAATATGGCTCAAGGCAGCACCTTTGATCACTAAATCTATTCTCTCTGGTTATCCATGGCTAACATCCTGATGTCAAGATTTGTAACCAGGGCC